AAAAAAAAAAAAAAAAAAAAAAAAAAAGATTTGTCATGGTAAGTCCCAGACAGGAATTGAAAACTGAAAGAAATGGAGAGATTCCACTGCAGGGCAATTAGGCTTTCACAAGAATGTGTTAAAATGTTATTAGCAATTGTAAAGAAAAATGGCAATGAACAAATGAWGAATAAGGCAATATAAAGAAGACATACACAATTCATAGATGAAGGAAATTAGTTCCAATAATTATACAGAAATAAAAAAGCGAGAAACTGTAAAGATTGTAACTGCTAAGGTATGCTCAGCCTAGCAGGTAAGAGAACTAAAATGTCTAAATTTTCAAGGTAAAGTTTTATATGAAAACTGGAGCTGTGGGCAGGTGGAGAACCACCTGAAAATAACTGCACAACAAGGGGRGAACCATGTCTACATGTAGATCTTCTTTATATCCCTCCAGTAATGTGAAATTTTCTCTTTTTACATCTGAGAAATGGCTATACTTATGTTTTTCTTTAAATATTCTCTCTCTGCTCATGCATCTAGAAAATCCTGGCTCTTGTCTCATTTCTGACATCTCCCACTTATATTTTTCCTGCTATTCAATTTTCTATTAATCTGAGTCAATTTGGCAAATGAGAATATGAGGACCAGATAGCACATAATTTGATTACTCATTTTCTCTTAAACATTTGCCTGTATTACTGAAAACTAATTCTCATTCAGCACTATTGTTTTTAGCTTGCAAAAGCCTAAACAGAACCTGAGGTTTTAAGACTAGTTCAGACAGGGATCATGCCTCCCTGCAGTTAGCAGGGATGAACAGATGATTTTTGGGAGATGTTCCTGTGAAAGTGTCAGTTCCTCTCTATTGTCATGTTGTCTCTCTCAACAGCTCTAAAGGGAGCCCACTGTGATTAYTTCAGATGGAGACATCTGCACTGTAGGTGTTCATTCAGAATCTCATCTCTTCCTTCTAAATAATGCAATCCTTTGCTTATTCATCTTTCCATAGAGTAGAATGGATTCTTTATTGTCCTTTCACTATTCTTTGGTGCTAGGTATGATTTCTGGTTTGCTGATGTACCATTTCCTGAGATAATGTGCTCTTTTTGCAGTGAGCTGTGGAGTCTCTTATCTTCATGCCAAGCTGCAGGGGAGGAAGGTTTGGCAGAGCCAGGCTGTGTGATTTACAATCGATTTATACCCAATTGTAATGGTCAGTTTGACACAAGAGCTGCTGAGAAACRTGGCTACTGAGAGCTAATGAGTGGCAACCGGTACCTTGGGAACAGCGTGGGAGGAGTGGAAAACAGCCTAGAGCCCAGAGAAGCACACAGCCATTCAGCCAAATCCATCCCTCTGTATTTATACACTTCTCTTTTAGTGAATGCTCTTTCCTTCTGCTCCTATTCAGAGTTCCTGGGCCCTTGCTGCCATCAGTGCTTCCTGCAGCTCACTCAAAAGAGTCCAATGTCTCAAATGATCTCTGTGCTTTGGGCAGCAGAAGGTTGACATGAACATGAGAAACTGACAATATGAGAAAGGCAGCACACARCACTGCCAAACCAAGTTTGTCTTCCTAAGTGTGCAGTATATTCAGGGGTAAAAGTCAGAATTTAATGAATTTTCAAGAACTGCTAATATATAATTTTTTTTCAATAACATCATAAAATAAGCAGATTTTGTATGGTGTACATTTTTGTATGTTAAAGACATAAATTTATTTTCTGTGTTCCATAAAGATTTTAAATATGCCATAGCATCACAATAATTTTATAGAATCAAGATACTGCTTAATTTATAGTAGTCTGTTTATTGAAAAAATCAGAAGTTTTGATAAATGCTGAAAAGTAGTGGCAAAATTTTTGTGCTCCTCTGCCTGCAAAAATAATTGTATTAAACTAGATGAATAATGCAAGGATRAAATACCCTGTATCATTGTCRTTTTACTGTAGTCATGTTTCATTAATCAAATTCATCAGTTTTCCAATTTTCTTTAAAACTGTTTTGACATTTTCAAGGATATTAAAATACAGGAGAGGGTGCAGGAAAGCAGGGTAGGTGTGTCAGTAAGAGATCCGGATCTCACCATTGTAGACTTTTTTTGATTTTGATAGTCTGGGTAAGCTGATCTTAGAACACTTTTTGAGGCATCCAAGCAAAATTGGCACTGTTACGTGGTAACAAAAATCAATGCCTGGTCTATACGTATTAAGTGCTCTCTCAGCCATGTACTATGAAATCAAATCCAAGTCAGCTCACATTTGGCTGCCCAGGTAGCCAGCTGTTGGGTTATAAATGGGAAAAGGATACTACCCAGATCCCACAGTAATAGTTCTCTAATAGTTCTCCTCTTGGGCTTGAGTATTTTCATGGAAAAACTCCTGTAAGGGGAGTAATTTTTCATGGACAAATCCCTCACCTCCTGCCTCATCCCACTCCCCTGCATGCTGGGGGATCACTGTGCCCTGGGATCCTCCTCAGGGGATGGGAAAAGGCAGGAATGTTATGATTTGAGCAGCATTTGAGAGGGCAAGTGGGTCCTGCCAGACTGTGGATCTGGATCACTGCTGCCAGAGGTGAAGTGGTCAAAGGTGATGGTTTTGGGCCAGCAAAGGAGAAAGAATTGGGAAATCCTTCCTTTGCAGCCTTATCCAGGTCCCAGCCATTTCTTTCTGACTCCTGCTCCTTTCCATTCATGCTCTGCCAAGGGCAGGTCTGAGTGTCCTCGGCTACCTCTGTGTGACCCTRCCTGAGCAAACACACCTGGTCTACCAGATGTGATCACACGGTCCTTGTGGCAGAAAACACATCTCCCCTGGATTTTGACATCCCTTCGGAGAAGTAAAAGAAATTTTTTGGTTCAAAAAGGAAAACRGGCTGTGATTCCATCACGTGCTGTGCTCTTTTTGTGCTTTTCACAAAAAGGATCTTCCAACTTCCCACCATTGTAATTTGCATATATTGCCACCTATACAGACCACTGAGAAGTGTCAGGGGAATTCAGAGTCAAGAGTGGGAAAAGCAACATCACCTTTTAWTGGGACAGGAACAAACAGAGCAGAGATTGGAAGAGAAACCCAGAAGAGGGAAATTCTTTGTCTTACATTAGTTCAAGGTTTGGCATCTCATCTTGCTGTAAAATCCTGAGGATCACGATACTTCTCTRAAAGGTTTTCTCCTCTTTGCCTGTTTGAACAGAGAGAAGCTTCTGCTAGATGCTGCAACGCCAATCAAGGGCCCTTGGAAACATTGGTTAACTCTGTTAAGGGAATCTCAGTTCCAGGGTTTCAAATTCACCTCTTCCTGCACTGTGACATCCTCAAAGACTGTGCCCTCAGGCTTGGTATCACCTTTCTGGACACCCTGCTTGTCACCTTGTCCCCAGTGGCACTCAGCCCTGAAAATCTCTCTGGGCATCCCAGCATATTTGCTTAAGCTTGCTGCAAAAGCAAAGCATACAGATTTTTTTGAGATAAAAATGGCTGTTGAAAAGAAGGACGTTAAAAGCATAAATTACCTACTCATTTGTTGAACTTCCCAGGAATCCTGTTCAACAGAGGGTATTGGGAGACACAGGGCTTTAGTTTACTTATACTTTCTTCCAGACCAGGTCCCTTGTATTTCTTCATCTAGTTTGACCTGCCTTGCCAAACAGCAATAGGTAAAATGGTTATGGAAGTTACTCTCACAGAAGAAACTTCCCAAACATTTCTGTGGTCAAATATMTGCACAGCCAGAAGCAGAAATTGATATTAAACTTCTACCACGAGCACAGCAAGGAGCAGATCACATCCCTACAGCCCTGCAGTGATGGTGGATACACCTTTGGTTGCAGAATCTGCTGCATGCTGGCTGTTGAACTCCCAGAGGATCTCCCCATGGGCACTGTGAGCAGGCCAGCAAGAGCTGTGTCGCTGCCTGGGTGGAATCTATTGTTCCCATGGTGTTTGTCAGTAGGGAAAGGCAAGCTGCCTTGGAAGTCTATAAATTCCCAGTCTGTACACCAGCTCTCCTTCAGCAGATGCAGAGCACGAGAGATGAAGTTCCTGCTGCCTGCTACAGCTCCTCCTGTTCCTGCTGCCTGCTACACCTCTATCCTGCTCCTCCTGCCTGCTACCCCTCTATCCTGCTCCTCCTCTGCCCCCCAGGCACAGGGGTGTGTGAATACACCTCAGTCCTCACTGTGCCCAGCTGAGGCCACTGGGGCAGGTGGGATAGCCGGCAGTTTTGCTGTTATGGCTATGCCAATGGATTTGTGCTGAAGGTAACATTCTCTCCGTTCCTTGCCATCTCCTGTACCGAAGCACTTTCTGCAGATTTTCCCTCTTCTTGAGTGTGATACCCTGTACATAAAACTTTGAGCCTTCTGGCAAATGTTGGTACACCAGAAAAGTCTGCATGGGGCTGATGCTGCTGGGAGAAGTCATATGAATGTGAAAATCTGGACTTGGGGAGAGAGGCATCCACCACCAGTGTCTCTGCTGAGACTCTGAGTGTCTGCCTTCCCTGTTGGGTCAGAAATAGCTAGAAAACACAAAGAACATGTGCAAGGGTTAGGTAGTTTCCCAGTGATAGGCATCTTTTCCCATGCGCCTCCCAAAACATTTTCTCTTCCCCATTACAGAAAGGAGTTGTGACTGTTTATGACAGGCATGTAAAGGACTTTTCCTGYGTCTTTTGCCCTTTGCCTTTACCTCTGTCCCTGTGTGACTTCCACTGCAGGTGGAGCCCTACCAGTTTGGAAGAGGTGACATGGCTCTGAAGGGATACACCTGCATTGTCAGGATGATTCAGTAACCACCGAGTCCTTGGCTGGGTAGTAAGTAACACTCTTCCCTGTTTGTCATGAGCTAGCTCTCGAGGCACCTATGAGTGTCACCATTTGCAGGGGTCTCGTCTCTCTGACTTGCTTTTTGTACACTGTGCTGTAGTATAGTGAATTAAAACAAGTGGTTAGGGGTTGTGTTCATTGATTTTGAGGGTAATTAWACACTGTTACCACACTTTACTGCTTTTTGTTTGCCCTTGAAATTTCTGCAGAGCACTGTGGGCACCTGGAGTATGGTYCCAGGRTCASGGTGTTTCTTTGGAAATCTGCAACMCATGRGGCAAAGGTGGGAAAARGGATTTTCTCTAGCCATACATTGAGAAACTGCCAGGAGGAAGCCCTGGGCCAGCTGCAGGGAGCACCTCTGGAAGGCAGAGGGGCTGCTGTCCCTGCTGCCCGGTGTGTACCTGTCACACACACTGGGGATGTGTCATAAAACGTGCTCAGGCTGCCCTTGGAGTTCCCACCAGAACTGCAAGTATCCAGTCTCAGACTTCCTGGTGTTTTTGTGATCAGATATCAATAAAGAGAAAAGAACAAGTTTGGAAGGCAAGGAGAAACAAAAGAAGAAAGTCAGGGGCCCAGACTGCAGCAGGATGCTGTGTCAAGGAAGTGTTAAGCTTCAGAGCACCGTGACAAGAAGAATTTCTCAGCAGCTCACAGAGCCCAGACRTTTTTCCATCTGCTTTTTGTCAGGTGGGGTACCTGGATCAGCTTCCAAGTTTGTCCTGGAGGCTACTTGATCTCCATTTCCCTGAGAAGAGAGGAGTCCCAGGGAGGAGGTGATAACACAGCTGCCAACAACATTCAGTTCAGATGCTCGCATGAAGCTGCACTGATGGGTGATGGGCTCTTGTGGGGCACCTTTGGCTYCTTTGGACCAACAGCTGCAAGATATGTGGCCTCCAGACCAAGGTTGAGCCCCCACAGGGCCTTCAGGATGACACAGCACTCAACAATGTGAAGTTCTGCTGTAAATGAGCGCTTGCTCCACCTTCATCACTGCCTACACATCCCATATCCCACAGCAWGTGAAGCATCAGTAATGCTTTTCTCTGGCTTTATGCTGGAACATGCCTGTGATGGTTTGGCTGCTTGCATCTTGCTGTTTTGGACAATGCCTTTGATGATGATTCTTTTACAGCTATGCTATTTTAGCATGGCTGAATCATTGCATCCTGTACTGCTGGTGTGTCGCTGTGAAAATGCCCAGTCTCTAGTAATTGCTCAGAGCTGACAGATTTCTCAACTTTCTTTTACTCTGACTGGCAGGTTTCTTTGAGGTTTGCTCTGCCCATTTTCCCCCATATGAAATAATATTTGACCTGTTAATATGACAGAAAGGGAAGAATGGGTATTAGGTTGAGTCTATTTGTGGTTTCTGACCAAAGCCAAAATGACTAATGAGAGAGAAATGAGGTGAAACAGAAGTCTAGGTGGGCTCATGGGGAGCTTCAAAGGTTTGCTGCTATTGCCCACTTCTAGCCTTAATTGCCTCAAGATTTTTACATGCTTTTTGCAAGCAATCTATTGGTTCATGCTTGAGCTCCTGCCCTAGGAAGCATAGCTAGAAAATGTGTTCATACTGTGCATCCATCAAATGTGGCACTGCGTCACCTGGGTGGGCTGTAGCTCCCCAGGCCTCCCTGGCTGCTGCTTTGCCGTGTGCTCTGCTGGCTCACCTGGCTGCTAGTGCAAAACATTTTCATGGGACTTGGATTTCGTCTGTTGCCTCCAGTCTTCATGCTTTAAATAGAATGCGGGAGAATCCAAACTAAAAATAAACTCTATGTCATCCATCCATTTTTTTATGCTCCAATGTGCTGGGTAAGCTGGAAGTTATTACCTGATATGCTGGATGTAAAGGATGAACTCTCAGTTCAGGGAAAAAGAATATTTGGAGATCATTATCATGCTCTATCGAGCCCCCAAGCTTCTCTGACAAGAGTTTGAGAAGCCTTGCTGCCTCTCTGAGCACATTTTAGGGAGTGTAGCTGTTGCTATTCCCTTAAAGCAATGTACTGTGCATCTTTGTGCCCTTGTAAAAGGGTGGGGGGCCTGGTGCTGTCATTCTCCTGGTGACTGGCTGGGTTGGGCTTGGSGGATGTTGTGCCCTGGACCACAGCCACATGGAGAAGCACGGAGCTGATGCTGGAGGTTCCTTCTGACAGTTCCCATCCGCTCCTTAGCACACACAGAGTAGCCATCACCAYTCTGGCTCTTCATCCATGTAAATTTATTTTACTGTCGCTTACCTCAAAAAGTACTCAAATAACAACTCTATTTTCTTCCAGTGAAGACTTACCAAAGCTTCAGTAGCACAAGAAGAAATCTCAGAAAGATTTCTGCATTTGAATGATTTTCTCTAAAAAAAAAAAAAAAAAAAAAAAAGTTTTCCAGTCAAAACTTCTGCTGCAAATTTTTATAGCTCAGTATTTCCAAAAGATCCTTTAACTGCTTTCTGCCCTTCCCTTGACTGCGGACATTTTATGTGTGCAACCACTTTATTAAAGAAATGCTTATTTTGCAAAACCAGCCCAGCCATCACTTGAAATACTGATTATTAGCTTCTAGGGACCATCTTTTGGCATCCATCTAAGTTTGTGAGTGTCTGAAAAAATCCTTATTTATCATATATTCAGCTCTCTATAAATATATAAATACCTCAGCTCTAGTACTTCGCAAAACAAGCAAACAAAGAAAACAACAACAAAAACCCCACAACAAAAACCAACAACTCCAAAACTGCAACATTTGTTGAATAAGGTGAACCAAACGAAACTAAAACTAAATTCTGATGCTATCACAATTAACTGGAGTTAATGGTGACCGTGCCGAAATTTATCTCCCAAAATGACTGTTTTCAAGCCCCACAAGAGGACATATTTTAGTTTGCATCTATTTGCTTGGCTTTCATTTTCTTAAGAAAAGGAATAATTTCAGCTTGTGAACTGACATCGAGTATAGTTAGTGAGGCAATGTTTGAGGGCATAAAAGTAAAAATAGCTGCACTGATCTAAGCAAAACAGGTTTAATTCAATGACAGTGAGCAGGAATCATGGTGACACGATTATCTGCATCATCTTCCCCAGYGTGGGAATTCCTCTTGCTGAGGCAGAGGCGTCTCCACGCACTTCCATAAAGTTTTGGAGGGACAACTATTGGTCACCTCCCACCAGAGCATGCTGGACAAGCAAAAACCATCAAGTGTTTAATACTGCAACACTATGATCAGTGTCACCAGCAAATCTTGCAATTTTTTGCCTGTGAGTAAGATGTGTCTTTTTGAAAGATAAACTGAATGAATCTAAGTTGTGTGTGCAGCCAGTTACATGTGGGAAAAGAGATCAGGTTGTTTTACAATCCTCCAGAGTGAGAAGGTGTCTAAGAGAGTTAAGAATGTCTAAGAGAGTTTCTGGAATGACCATTGCCACTGAGCTGAAGTGCCTGAAAGAAGGAATTGCTTTTCTTTCCAGTGATCTTTTTGAGAAGTAGTGCCTGTTTTCTTATAAGTGTGTATGTACAAGTAAATATAGACGATGGAAAAACTTGAGCTTCATATTGCACATTCCTTCTCCAGAGGGTTGTTCAGGCTGGAAGTCTCTGAATATCTGCTGCTTCTTTGCAAATGAATAATTCAGTTAAATTTTGAGGTTTTACTGTGGGAAGAATTATTCACAGTGCCAACAAAACTGACCTTTTATGCTGTCCTGTTGTGCGAGGTGTAACCCATCTTCCTGTTWGTGTGTGATAGACATTCCAAATGAGAGCAGTTGCAAGAAATGTTTGGAAAAYAGAATACCACCTCCTCTTCACCTTCTTTCTCATGTAGTTATCAGCAGCTTAAAATCAAATGGTTATTTTTTTATCATATAGAATAATGATGGAATATTTCCAGCTGGGTCTCCTCTGATGGTCCGCTTGCAAGGTGTGAGTCAAACACAAACTGGAAAAAAAAATCTCAGGCATTTACTTCACTCAGAATGGAGGAATCACTCTTATAACAGAAATGAAGGGACACAAGCATCACCAAAGTGTGCTGGAGCTGGTGTGGCTGAATATATGCGTGGCTGGAATCTGTGAGTAAYTACATTTGCATGGCTTAAAAACGTCACTGTGTATCTTTGGCACACCTGCAAGTCAGGAACATGTTGCCAAAGAACTGACACACAGTTCCTGTGGAATATTAGTGGGACTAGTGGCAAGAGCAAGGACCAAGCAAGAATTATCCCTGAATAAYAGCATGGCAATTTTGGATCTGGAGCATGAGTAGGCTTGGGGAAAGCAAAGAGGAGTTTTCCACAGATCCATGCATATGTGGCACAGCTCCCAGGTAGACTGGCAGAAGCAGCAGGCCTGGAGCTTTTCTGAAGTGCTTTATAAAAGGCAATTCTATTGAATAAGACTGAATCAGACCAAGAGCAGACCTGCTCTTAGTGATGCTCCAGTGAATCAAGCTTTGGGTCTGCCTCTGAGAAAGATTACCTTAGAAATCCTATACTTTATGGCTGCATTGTTCCTGCTGCACAAGGAAAATAGATATTCCATCCATCACAGGTGCTCTAGAGCTTATGTTGTTATTTTTTGTGAGATGCAGAGAAGACATCTGAAGATRTTTTAGCTGCATATCATTGTTAATACCATATATGATGAAGTGCACCTTGTAGTTCATGCTCAACTTGCCACAGTTAGCAAGTTTTCCAACCCCATAAAACAGGCTAATTAACCAGTGTGATTGCCAGTGAGGGAACAACTGGAAACATCTGGTTTAGAATTTTCTGAGTATCATTATTTAGAAATGTTGCTACAGAATGTAAGGAGCAGAGAATCTTAGCCTACAGGTCATGAAAAGAAAAACAGCAGGACTCTGGAGATGTGATTCATAACAGACTGAATTCTGTCTTCCATGTTCCCCCACAACACTGAGGCTGTGGGCATGCCTTTGTCCCACAGGATTAAATATCCACAATATTGTGCTTGAACTCTTCCTTTTTGTCTTAGGACATGTGTTGTTTGTACCTGCCTGCTCTGTCTTTATCCCTGCAGAAAGGGAGCCTATCCAAGGCAGTCCAGGCTCCAGCAAGTAATGTTGGAGACTGCTGTCCTGGCAGGAAGAAGGAGTAGTTGGCTCAGTGAAAGAGGAGGGAAACGCATGAGCTGTCTGGCAATGCATAAACACAAYTAACAGCAAGGTGACAACACCAGATATAGAGAAAACACATTGCTCTTGGGCAGATAATGCAGAATCTTTCCTAGAGGCTTTTGCATTTGGTGCGTGTTTCCTGAGCTTCCCATATCCTGCTGGAGCAGCACTTGGTGGACATCAGCCTCCTCCTAACCCCRTACAACAGGACAGGCTCTGCACTGCTTGCTGAGGCTCTGAGGACTCTGCAGCAGGCCACCGAGCTTGGGGACACTTGGCTGCTCCAGCACCCTACAACTCTTTCTTTTTGGTCACTCAAAACCAGTTCAACAGCAGCAATAGGGCAGTGGTTGTTTGGTGCATTTCTTAATGAACATAAACAGCAAAATGGACATGGGTGGCCTCTTTAGTGCCTGTATGGCAAAGGAAAAATGTAACAGTGCTGCCAGAACATGTGCAAGAGTTTATTGACTCAGTCTGTGAAAAAGAACATTTTCAGAGGGAACAGGACAGGAGGAGAAGCCAGGTTACTGCATGAGCCTTTTCAGGATTAGGCCCTGGACAGGTCTRAAACATCCCCTTTGTGTTTCTGCTGTTCCCTTTCTCAGGGGAAGCATTCTGCAGCTGCTCRTGAATGACTTAGAAGTCCATGGACAAAACCACACATTACTGGCTTCATTAAAATCCACTCTAAAATCCTTAGGGCCACCCTAAAGGAAAATGTCTCTTCATACAGTAAAAAATAATTTAACTGATTTCACTTTTCAAGTKGTAGGAGTAGWTWAAAAAATTAATTCCCCAATCTGATGYTGTGTCTAGAATGCCCTTCAACCCTTGC